TAAAAATTTTTACTCAACTTTTATTTTTTTAAAATTATTAGCAACGGTTCATGTAAAATCTTTACATTTTCTTAATTTAAAGCTACTTTAGCATGCGATTTTCCTCGATTCGAAGCAATCATGTGTCACTATTGACAATAACATCTTTCAGTGATTTTAAAAAGTCTATAATTTGATATTTATTTCAGGGATAAAGAACGTTTAATGTTTATTTTGTAAGGAAATCCGATTACATGCCAATCATATGAATATGGGTTAAGAAATAGCGAATGTGAAACAATAATTACAGCATTTACTTGCAGAGAAAACTAGACAATTGTTGCTGATAAACTAGAATAATATTTTCCTCTTTCTGTTGTTACAATAGAAGATGCAATCGATTTCTGTTTTATGTTTGATGCGTATGTATCAGAATGGTTTCTATGATTACTGTATTTTTATTTATAATGAAGCCCAGTAAGTGTTTTGCCGTTGTGCCCTCATTTGTGTTAGTTTTGGGCCCTGTTGGGCTCCTTGCCCGTTGTACTGCCTTGCTGGATTGTGTTTGGAGATGCGTACATTGAATACTGCCCTTCTTTGTTTATCTTTGATTTCATATTGCATTTGTTGTAGAACAACTGTGTTAGTAGTAATATCTTCCAGGTTAACGGCCATACTAAATACATCTTATCATCTAACGGAAATGCCCCCTTTTACGTAGCTTCCTTTACAATAGATACTGACCATTTAATGTAATGCAATGAAAACATGTGTCTGTCTAACATGGAAACAAAGTAGTCACCATTCATAGGAATATTGCAAATTTCTGTGAATAAAATCTTTGAATGGGTGACAAGGTCCAATGAATGGATTAAAGTAACTGTTATAATTTGACATTTAACTACTGTGATAAATGATATAATCTACATATAAGTGATAATTATCACAAATGCCATACCAATTAATTGTTGTCTAGATTGTGTAATACTATAAGTTTCTGAGAATATTTTGATATAGATTTGAATGTTAGATACTAATTAAAATACTTAACAACGCATTTAGATTTAGTATTCCGTACAACTGACAATATTCATTCAACACAGGTAGAAGTGATAAATCTTGTAAATGTTGTAGCTTCGTTGAATTAGATTATTATTATGATACAGGCTTTAATTTCAAAGTAAAAGGATAAAAGGATTACATGCAACGCCGTTTGCAGAAAAGAGGTCCCCTACAAATCATTAAATGGAGTATAGATGTTTTCAAACTATCACTGCGCTTTCCGCCTGATAAACATTTGCTTCTAATAGAGGATGGTTATCGTACCAGTACATTATTGTGTGGTCAATCTAATTCTACTAAATATCACAATTGAAAATATCCATAAATAGTCTTGTTTCTATTATGGATATTCTGAGTAAAGGTCGAACCACATGATAGGCTAGCATTGTCTGTCTATCAATCTGTTTTAACATTTTTATAAACTGAAACGGTTTGTGACTATTACATCAATTAATAACATCTTAATACAAATTAAGTAAATTGCCTCTCTTTCCAAGATTCTAAATTTGCCTCTTTTTCCGGGATTCTAAATTTGCCTATTTTCGGAATTCTAATTCTGCCTTCTTTTGTAGTGCGGATGTCCCGATCTTTTTGTAAATATTTAAAATATTAAATAATCCGTGATACAATGTTATTATCTTTTCATTAGCGTGGATCACATAAATAAGATTTAATTAAAGTTATGATAATTACCAAACTGATATTTGCACAAAACATTGTGATTAAAATAAAAAAATTTAAAAAGGATCTGTGTTTTGATTAAATGTGTTTAGAACTTCTGCCTTTGAAGGGTTGTATAAGCGCCTGGGTGTATTGAAATGTTTTGTAGTAAATTTTACAATATGTACACTACGAGTATACTGTCTCAATGTTGAATTTAAAAATGTTTTATTAAAGAAAATAATTGATCTGGAAACACGTGTCTCTGTTGTTAAACAGGGACATTTTACAAAATTACCTTTTTTGATGTGTCCTTATTTTTCCTTCGATTTAAAAGCGTACAAAACGCAACTGTTTGTTCCAACCATCTAAATATATAGCTTTATTTCGATCAATGTATTGTCTATTGTTGATTGTCTTAGACTATGATTTATTGCTATCACATATACTCACAGGAAGCATTCTCTTTCAGCAGAATGGTTCCCTGACTGCTATATTGTAATTGATTTACATCAAGTAGTAAGTAAATAGCGAAGCACGTTCCGCACAAATAAGCGTTCATTTGATAGGAGAATTCAGGTTTCCTTCTGATTCCTGTTTGTTTCAATCAATTATTTGATTTTCAGGGGAATAATTGATTAATGATATTTATATGAATATTAAATGGAAAACAACGTTGTATGTGTTATAAAATGAGAAGATATCTATTCCAATTTTGTAACTGAAATACACGTTTCTTTAATTCGGACGCGACGTGGCAATATATGTTTACTTATGTTCTTTTTTCATTTAAGGTTTTATGAAAGATATCCCAATTAGTAAATTATTGCAATCAATAACAATGGAAAGTTTGTGAGATGAAAAGATGCTTTTTTCTATAAAATGACGGAAACTTTTCCACCAAAACATGTGGTAAACCCAAATATACTTACTAGTTTAGAACAAAAGAAGTATTTCGATAAGTAAATAATTGTACAAAATATGTATCAGTTATCACGATAAAAAAAGTTCCTTTCATCTCTCATTTCAAATTAGCAGATCTCTTAGCTTCAGCATTCAATAATAGGAGATTTGTTTCAAGCATAATGAACGTTCATTGACGTTTGTCACTTGTTAGGAAATCCGATTCTATGCCAATCTTATTAAAATGGATTAAGGAAAGAGCGAATACGAGGAAAATACTGCATTTACAGCTTCGGGAGGAAAAATGACATTGTGAATAAGAAAAAGACACAATCAAATGTTAATATTTGTTTCCTTGTACTTTGCATTTTCTTCAAAATACCAGTGACGCCGGAGAGAGATTGTTGCTTATTGCAAACATTATAAGCAACTGTTTAGATGCCATTACAGTCGTAATTCAAATGGAAATAGCTACAATGAACCCTTAGTACTTTTTCGGATATGCAAACACGTTTTTCTATACAACTTACAAATAGTATTTCTTTTCTCTCATATATTACTTTTTTTAGGTTAATGTATTTACAAAGAATTTAATCGATAGGGCGTGAACAATTATGTATTCTTTCAATAATATGAGTCGCATGAAGGTAAATGGTTCATTTATTGTTTCTAAAAATGAACAATATATACAGATCGCAAACCAAGGCGATAGAATGTAATTATATCAAACTCTGATATTGAATTTGCATTTTCATGACGGTAACGGAAATTTAAACAGTAAAATGATGATGTTATTAGGAAAACAATGAATGAATATACAGTGCTAAACGATACATTACAAACTTATTCCCTGCGGGCCGGAGCCCGCAGGGTATTGGTACGCGTTTAATTTTTGATGCATGGAGGAGCGCGTGACCTGTTTTCGGTACATGGAGGAGCATGTGATCTATAAACCGTACATGATTGGTTAATTGACCTTTTCGAAAACCTAGCTAAATACCGTTTGCCGGTACGTTACGGATTTACCTCTGGGGAATTAGTCCGAATAACACCTAATTAAGAACATAAAACTATTACGTGATATTTCTAATTTTCTATAATTATTTTACCGTTTAAGGTAGAAAAACTTGCATGATGTGTTTGAAAATAATTATTATCAATATTTCTTTAATATCTATCTCAAATTTTACAAACAATAAATTGTTTAAAGTGAAAATCTACAAAATAAAAACATTCGTAGTGGCATCTGCCATAATAAATAGAGATATTTTCTGCGTAAACTTATGTGTTAACTTTATTTTTTGCACGGAATTATTCATACAATGGTATTTAATCATTTTCTTAAAACGAAATAATTGTTTTATATTCGACCTTCTCTCCGGTCTCCGGTCTTCAACGGTCACCAGTCTCCATATACCTTCCTCTATTGATCGATTATTGTAAACTATATTTCTGATACAAACGTTTATTTATTTTTCCCCAAACAATGTTGAAAATAGTTAAATAAAATATCTTTATATCATTAAAAATGTTTCCCGCAGGAAACCATTTTACTTGTTCAGGTCTTTCTTGTCTGCATTAATTGTTTGCTGTAGTTCAAAGATTTAGCTTGCGTGTTCATGTCCGCCGTTATTCAAATTCGATTTGTCACTAAAAATCGAAAAGGCGCTGCTTATGAATATTTGTTAGACAATTTCAAAATCAACATTTATCTGCCCTTTTCTAGCTTGTTCTTCTTTTAGGACTATTCATATATAAAGTAATAAATAGTAATAGGTTTCCCGCACCAAAATCATGCAATATGAATAAATTGATAAATTAATAATTAATACCACAGGCAATAAGTAAATAGCAATTTTCAATACAATGGATCTCATATTTTCTTCTTAAGTATAAACAATTTTTATTTTAAAATTTTATTTTGACAGTTTTTTTTTAATATTTTGTGAAAATAAATGATAATAGACAGTGCAAATATCTCAAACACATAACACTAAAAGAAAGCTGGTTTAACGTCCATTCTTAATCCATCAAAGGAATGGCCCCTTTTTGGAAGCTTTCGCGTAGATGCTGGTGAAGTTCTTTCTAGAGACTTTACCCGCACTGGATGTGGTCTGTTGTCAGATCTAACACTTTCTACAGCTTTATGCACTGGCTTTTTAATCTCATCGGTTTTAAAGCTACCATTCTTAATCCCTTTTGACAATTCAGAGTGATCAGTTTTTGAATCATCATTTTCATTTTCACAAAAATTTGTTTCAAATGAGAGGTCTAAGTTTTCTTTCTCCTCATCTGGCCAAGGGCTACTTCTACCACGTGGAGTAAATTCTTGTTGACCAGATGAGTCACTCATATTTCCTTTTTCTAATCCTGATGTAAACCCTGAATCACCGAACTCTGCTTCTGCATCCGTTGTTATTATAGTCGGTGCTTTATACATAACACCAGTTGGTTTACTTACATTAAAATTTACTTGAATTTTAGATCGCCCTGGACTGTTTGTTAACTGAGTATCACTTAGACTCGTACTACTTGACGTCCTAGAGTTTGAATTACGAGAGACAACTGCTTGGGTCCTGAATTCCTCGTCACCATTTGATATGTTGTCAAGAAATGGATTAGAACCTGAACTTGTAAGGTCCTCTGGTTCCTCCTTAATTGACTCAAAACAAAGACCTACACCTCCATATACGTTAGCTCCAGGATTGATATGTTGTTCAAGTGCCTCTTCAAATCCCCTGTCTGTGTCCTCATCAAAAATTGATGAAACCGGGGTCGATAACTCGCTATGTGGTGACGCTGCATATCTAGAATCAAATGTATATCCAAATCGTAGCTCAGAACTGTCATGTGATTCTTTTAATGTATCTGTATCAGAATCTTGGACAAGGGGTTCTCGAATTTCCGAATTTTCTTCAGTCTGGAAATCTAATTCATCCATCCATGGCCGTCTTCTAGTTTCTTCCTGATATGGGCTAACAGTTACACTGCTATTACTGCCGGAGCTTGCGTTTTCGTCATCTATACTATTAGTTTGTTTCTGAACAACATTTTCTTCACTTTTTTCAGTTTTGACAGAAATGCTATCAACACCTGTAACAGAAAAGCCTGTAGAATCTCCTAAGCTTATCCTCGTGTCTCTATCACTATCGCCAAATTCATCATTTAAACGATAATCAAACATTGGACTCACATTGAACATTGTGAATTTAGGATTTTTATTAACAGTTGATAAGTTAATGTTTTGAGGATTAGGTTTATCTAAAGGTAAATGAGGATTTTCCATTCTAGGTAAAGGTTTTTCGAACCAATATCCTTGTCCAGAATCACTTCTTTTTAAAGATGTGGTGAAAGAAGTGCTATCAAACTGTAAATCTCTTCTTTTTGCAAATGGATTAGTCCTGACATTGATTTCATTTTCTTTTTGAGAAACATTTGTTCTCACGTCATTTGAATTAGAACTTGGTTTAAAACTAGAAAATTGCAAAGTTTGTATACCGTATCTTGTAGATTTAACTTTACTTCCATATGGCACAGCACTGTCAACAGAGGTGTACCCGTCGCTTATATCGTCTAACGGAATAGCGTTATCATTAAATTCGATCTCATTTTCATCTCTTAGATACATTTGACATAAATCATCAAATGTACTGTAAACTCCTTTACCTACATGCTTGTTTCCTACAGATTGTTCTTCTGTATTTTTAAATGTGCTTAAGGTATTGCCACTAGGTTCATTGTTATAAACATAGGCAGCTCTCGCTTTCACTATTTGAATATCAGTTATTGATTCATCGTCCAGTACTTCGTCAATATCATCATTAGTATATGTTTCACCTGCTTCACTTTCGGTTGAGGGAACCTGATTAAATTTATGTCTTGGTAAACTTTCTGTTAAATAATCTGGATGGTAATCACTAGACATATAAAAATGGAGAGAATTCCCACTGATATTTGCCGGAACGCTTCTTGCGACCGTTTTAACAGATTCTTCTTCAACTGTGGGAGATTTTTCAAAACCTTGATTAACAAATATTGGCGGCAGGTTCTTTTTACGGATAAGTTCATTAATATCTTTGTTTGACTTTCCAGAGGAGGTGCGTGCTACATCGTGACGATGTACAAATGCAGTTTGTTTTGATAATGTTGCATTGCTATTTGCTTGAGCAGGCGTTAGTCTCATATTAGCCTCATTTCTTAAAGCGTCATGCTTCTTCTGTAGTACTTCTAAGTTTTGTATATCTACTGGTCGTTCATCATAAATTGATGGTGGACGTTCTACGTGCACTTCTCCTCGTATGACACCATTTACACGAGCCTCCTGTGGATTTGGGGAATTACCTCTACTTCCTTCATTGAAGAGGGTTTGAATACGTGTCTGTCCGTTTACATGAACATGGTCTCTATGTAATGTCTCTGACTTGTTGGATCGCATTGTCCCTGTGGCACTGGCCCCTCCAGCACGGCCAATACTTGATGGTCGTGACGGAACCACGGATACACGGTCTCTTTCCCGTTGGGTGTAAGATTGTAATGTACAAGAATAAGGCTCTGAAATAATAATGTTTTATATTAATATATTAACACAGAACATGCATCTACAAAAGAAAAATTAGTAATAAGATAATGTCATATGAAACAGTAAAAACTTATATAACAAATATAACATCACGTGTATTCTTGCCTCACAACAGTCATTTACGTTATGAATATATAAATAAATTGTTTAACTTGTCTTATTCCAACAAGGCTGTCGGATTTAAAGTTACTAGGTATACAGTATATATTTGTATAATAGTCAAATAGTTTCTCACTGTGAGCATTATGTATTGTTATATATTTTTAGGAACGATTAATATTAAAAAAATTTAGATTTATTTGCAAGAAGTTCACATTTAGTCATATCTACGAGCATTATCAGTATATATATTATGTCTCACCATCTTCTTCCTTGTCTTTGTTCTTCAGCACGTGCACCTGCCACTGGTACGTCAGCGCGTGCCTGTATCGTCTGCTCAGTAGCCAAAGGGTGTGAGGTAGTAGCAATGCTTCAAAACCAATCATATATAGCGAGATTACCTCTAGTGTGCCACGATCAATCTTCGTAAATGTCTGAACACCTTGCATTAACTGAAAAAGTAAAAAAAGTGTCCATATATATTAAGGTATGAGAAATATTGTAAAGACAAAAATACATATTTAATTTAGTATAAAATTATTTTAAAAAGTAACACGGTTTATCTTTTAATTGTTAGGTTTAAAGTTAGATTGTACCAGGCATGCCTTAACCTGTCAAACTATGCTGTCTGGCCGATGATTTAATGAATTCAGGTGCCTGCCAAATGAATTTCAAAATAAACTGTACCGTATTTTAGGGACTTGCAAGCTTAAATATCACAGTTCACTGACAGTAAGCAATTTGAAGATGTAACAAGTATTTTTCCTATAAGCTTAGCTCAAAAAAAATTTCATTGGTTTTTTTGTTTCTGCAGAAACGTATTGATGATATCATTGAGCGACTTGGCTCAAAGTCTGACGAATAGTGTAGCTGATTACTAATTCTACACCGATGTTTAAAGTGAGCACGTTGAACTTGTCAAATATTTGAAAAATTTTCTCTTGATTATTTGTTTTTGTATGTATTATTGTTGCGTTAACTGAATAATACATTTGCAAAATAAAAAAAGTGTATTTCAGTGAATGTTATACGAGAGGAAATTCTTTTTGTGTTATAACAAATTATGAATTTTAAGAAAACTTAGATTAAAAATAAAATCGAACAATAGGCAGTATAAATAGTTTTGTTAGATATAGAATTAACTTATTTAATTATTTTTCTTCCCTTTTATAAAGTTCAAACTAAAGAAATATGGATGGCTGTTTGTGTAATAGATAAAAATGACAATTTATTTTATGTTTTGTTTAATCTGACGGATATTAAATGAAATATCTAGTATGTAGTACTTTTGTCAAAAACATGGCCGTTCATCATATAACATTTTATAGTATGTAGTTATTATTTTCTTGCCTATTTATTCTAATCAACTTTAATTATGATAGTTTATTCCATAAAGTTTAGACCAGATATAAATAGTGTAACCGGTATGTGATTATGGACCTAATAAAATAGAGATAGAAAAACAAAACGGAAAAATTGAAAGTGTAGCAGGCTCGGTTTGATTGAGTAGAAATTAAGCTTACATTCCATCAGTATAAAACGTCGTAACTTTTTATATTTCATGCCAATAACATATTTATATATTTCATTCAAGTTATATACCTAAACTAAGCAGTAAGCATTGGTATAACCTCTAGTTCTGTTATAAGGATGGTCACAATACAAAACTAAGTATGAGAGTAAATGTAAGTATCCACGACGAGATTCTCTGTTACATTTGTCTAAAACCTAAACAATGCTCAAATGTAATGTTTCACTTTGAATTATAACAGATTTATCATTAATTCCAAGTTGTTTTGCAAAAGAAATGAATAATGGACCGCCGACGCCAAATGTCGGTCGAGTAACGATTTTGTATACTACGAGTATTCCAGTATCCAGCATGTTAAATGTTATAGACGACAAAATAAACCGTAAGTCACATATGTGCCCATATTAAATGTACCATTGACAATCCATAATCCATTATTATTATGCCTTAAAGGTAAATGGCTCCAAATGAGCCAAATATTTCAAGAAAATCATATTTTAGAAAAATGTACAGAACTTTTAGAAATAGTAAATAATTCAAGATAAAAGTAATAATACCAATGTTATGTGCAATATATATGATCGATTTGGCAGTATTTTTCATCATATTTCTTCTGCGTTACTAGCGCAGTAAGGGCTATTTTTGCATATTTTGACCTCCTTTTGATAATTTACATTGGTTGTTAACTTGTTAGTGCTGTTTCCATTGTGTAAATAATTGTCTTTGTTACCTTAACAATATTTTACTTTTAAATACAAATTTTAATTTTTTGTTAACATAAGCAGGAATCATGTGCCTTTAACCCATACCCTGCGAATAGCGAAAGTGATGAGCCTTTGCCACCAGTATAGAGCCAGAACAACCCGTCTTGTGGAGTCTAAACATGCCATAACTGTTGGTTAATCAATTTACAATTTTTATATTGATACTTTCAATACTGATAATCTAAATAAAACATTGACCAGTGTTTTAAGAAATTCAGATACTGGATGGTTCAAGAAACTGATTCGAGAGTTTGTCTGTAAGTTTATAGCTCTATCTACAATCTAACTAAAATAATTTCTTTATAAACTAAGAAATCCAGGAGGTTTAGGGTTAATAGATAAAAAAATGGCATATACATCGACACTAAAACAGTAATTGTATAAGTGACCGTAATAGTAAATGTTTCAATTTGGTGAGATAATATCTGTCATTCTGACATTTCTTCCAAGATAACTGTTAAGTGAATTTTTCATTTTATGATATACTTTTGTGGTTGTTTTGGACGTTATATGACCTCAATCATTAGACAGCCTCTTTGATTCTGGTCTTTAGTGTTGTTGAGCATATTTGACCGGTATGTCTGTTATTGTTGACTAGTACTCGTATGTCTGTTCTTATTTGACATTTTATACTACCAGGTTATTTGTTTGATTACAAGTTGAATTAAGAAAATCCGATGAATGTCAATAATCATAAAACATGCAGCATATACATGTGTTCCTTTGTTTATTCAATACATAGGTTTTTTTCATTTCTTTTCAAGAAAGCATCTCTTTTTTATACAAAGTCCTTACATCACATACTTTCAATACCCTGGACAGATGAGAACCATACTGATTTTATTGGACTCGTACACAGATGCAAAATCTATGTTGGGATCTGCTAGCGCCTCGTCCAATATATGTTATGTTACTCGTTCAATAGAATTCAGTATTGGACTCAACAATGTGTTTAACATTACTCTGTTAAATAATGGAGCAATTACATAAATTATGGCATAATACACATTAAACAAGTTAAACGTTTTGCGGTTTTGTTTGTTTGTTTGATTTTTGTTGTTGTTGTTTTTTTTTTTTTTTTTTTTTTTTTTTTTTTTTTTTTTTTTTTTTTTTTGTTTATTAACCATTTATATATTCTCTTTCGGTAATTTTGTAATCAACTCGTTTCTCCTCTGCAATTTTAAGATCAATACATTATTTTGTTCGAACCGAATTTGCAGACACAGAGATGCTATTGTATTCTGGTGATTTAATCGGTGAATTTCCTATTGTCATGGTTTCATACAGCGTTACATGAACATGATTTAAACATTGTTTGCGCATTTCTTTACTCTAATTTCCACGGAATAATTCACAAACCGTTTCGGGTGAATATTAAATGGAACAGTTGATTAAAGACATGTTTGCATTTCTTGGAATTCGGACATGCATTTCTATACAATTTAAATATTCCATCAACATCAATAACATTTCTTAAAGTGAACTGGTCTATAATGGAAGGTGTGTAATACAATGAATAATTATGTTGATAGTACTAAGTAGCAGACATAACAACAAACCACAATGGAAGTTGTTGGCAAGTGTGAGACACATGATACGATATAACATTTGAGCCGTACCATGACAAAACCAACATAATGGGTTTGCGACCAGCATGGATCCAGACCAGCCTGCGCATCCGCGCAGTCTGATCAGGATCCATGCTGTTCGCTAACTAACCCTATTACAAGTAGAGAAACTGATAGCGAACAGCATGGATCCTGATCAGATCTGGATCAATGCTGGTCGCAAACGCACTATGTTGGTTTTGTCGTGACGCGGCTCATATATTTTTAAAGCAGATAGTAAAGTGTTCTAGAACAATATATCATAATTCATCAGATAAACAGTATAATCTAAATCACTTAAAACTTTATCAATTTTTTTTGTCAAGCACCATTTCATATAACAAAATCCGAATAAAACATTTCTATTCTTTTCAACAATATTTGAAATACTAGTGGAAAATGTGCCCACTGAAGACCTGTCCACTTTTATTAATAGAAACTTAACAGAACTAAACACTAACATACGGTAAGATATTTATTATGGAAGTTACTTTTAATATAGTCAAGTAAGCTTACTTGCAAAGGTGTTGCTATCTATTTTATCTCCGAAAATGTACAGTAATGGATACGAAAAAGCGATAATTCCAATAAATTAATTTTGGTAAATATGTTACACGACTCTTCCCTATTACTTGTATTCGCTAGCTCTTTAACAGATCAAATATCAATCAATTACATAGTTCATTACTAATTAGTTCCCCTAATAACTAATTTTATAGAATACACTTTATTTGATATAGAGACCAATCATATTTCAATCCGTTTGAATATTTCCATCTATTTATTGCACGTCATTAAGCTGCCAATAAGCATTTTTTGGGAGCTTAAGGTTTATGGTTGCAAATTATTTTTTCAGAGGGGGTATTAGTTTTCTTACGTTGATATCTGAGTTCAATCTCATAGATTTACAAGAAAAAAAAATCACTGGATATAATGTTAAGAATCGTTATACAAAAGACGCAAATGATAGATCGCCTTTCAAAAGATGTGAACAGATCAGGGTTAAACAAAATCAAATACTTTAAAGGTATTCTTTGCTTCAAGACAAAAAGTACTGCGATTTCTGATCAATTTGCATTTTTTTTTATATTTGTGAGTTTTTGTTTTTGTTTTTGTTGTGTTTTTTTTCTACTACCTTTACTTGGATCATAAAGTTAGGCATGGTATTAGTGAGCAGTCCTTAACAATCATTTAAGTAAAACCATGCTCTATTCACAGATTTGATACAGTAGATTAACATTCAATAATGGATTTATTTCCAGCATATGGAACGTTCGGTGACATTCATCACTTATAAGGAAATCCGATTCGACGCCAATCACTTTTGTATGGATTCAGAGCGGCGAATGCAGCACAATAATAACTGAATTTGCTTCAGGGGAAAATAGAGACAGGTTGCTAATAAAATAGAATAAATGTCACTCTGTGTGTACAATTTAAGATACGATCAACTAGTCTCAGTTTGTATAGATGCGGTTAGACAGACTGCTGGTATTACTTGGCACTTTCTGGAAGGCTTTTTGCACATGATTAGCAGCATTAGCGACTTG